TATACTGAATCCATTCGACTCACTTTGACAAACTGCTCCTACCTGTATATAATCCAAGTGAAATATTGACCATGGTTTAACAAGGCAGATTTGCCAGTGATACCTTGTGCTCATCCAATTTCATGGGCTTTCCTTTTAAATGCTAAATTATAAAAAAGAGTCTTGGAGTTGCTTGTGGTTTCCATGCAGCTGTGCTTGTAGTGCAGTGCAGCAAGAACCAGGATGGAGAAAACAAGCTTTCAAAACTTGAACGCAGGGAACAGCCTTGCACTCTGGCTCTGCTTCTCAGAAGCAGTGATTGGTAGAAAGAGGAAATCATGAAAGTCCCAAGAGTATGTAAAGAGGCACCCTAAAAGATCAGTACCAGGGTCCCATTCCCCTGCTGTGCCATCTAAAAGCAGAGCAATGTCAAAGCAACCAGTCATAAAGAAAGACCACTTCAGTGCATTATTATGTTGCTACATCACATTATCAAAGATCCTTTTATCTTGTTATTTACAATGGGTTTTTTTAGCTAAATGCATTTTTAAGGTTAAATGTTTTATTGCAAAACACTGTATTTCCCCATCCCGTCACAGAAAGCCACAGACAAAGCACTGGTGAGAGCACAGATAGGCCAGCTTTTCCATTTTTTGCTTAGATTGGATAGTGATTGTGAGAGACATCTACAAACTACTGACACCCAACAGGAACTATAAAAAAATTATTAGATAGGGTCACATCTGTGTGGATTACAGAAAACTACATGATCACTGCCACAAAACTAGAGATGCACTGAAACATGAGATGATGCAAGCCACAAGAGTAAGCCTCAGCTAGGCCTCCTTTATTCCACTTACAATTTCAAATGTTTTACTGCAGTTATTGGTACTTATTTTAAGGCAAATTAAGTTCCAAAATTAGTTGTATTCTCTTGCTTGAAATTTAGAAAAATCCTTTCCTTAACCAGGCCTCTATACAAAAACTCTCTCAAAGAAACAGTCTGAAAACCACATGATCCCCATTACCTTTATCATTTTCAGTGGCCCAACTTGTATTCACTGTTAGAAAAATGGAACTTGCTAAACAAGGGAATTAGAGTAAAGGAAAAAAAAAAACCCCAGCCACGCCTCATTTGGGGATGCGTCCCTACAGCACACACACAATACTTGTAAACAAATATGGTTGTCAGCTCCGAGGTGTGGTTGGTTTGTTTTTTTACTAGCTTACATGACCAATCCAGCCTGCCAAAAAAACACTTTTCAAATCTCTCCTTCCTCCTTTCAGAATTTCTGCTTTAGGGGGGAAATTTAGCTCTTACTGTTTCTTTAAGGAACCAAAACTGCAATTTTTACTTATTCATCCTGTTGAGTTGAGTAAGAAATTTGGATGGCAGCACTTGGTTCCAAGTTTGCAATGTCGGGGTTTATATTAATGCCATAGACAATAAACTGTCCCATGTATGCATGAGGAATTCAAGGTCATCTTGTTTGGTTTACCCTCAATTTCTAGTTTGAGGGTGGCTCATAAAGAGTGCATTATGTACATTATGTACAGAAACGTCTTTAAAACATAATAAAGTTAATTCTAAATGGTTCAAACTTTTAAAAAGTGGTTGAGTATACAAAAATAGGACAAGACACAGACAATTTGTAAATACTGTACATTCTTTTTGCTGCTTGTATTGGACTAATATCAGATGTAAAGCAATTTACAGGCAAAGAATATAGTCAGTGATTTTTGTTTGTTAGAAGATCATTCTGCAGTGCATCTAGTCAGTCTAGGAACATTTCTATAATCAGCTAATAACAGCAGAAACATCTGAACACATCAACCCAAAAACACTTCTGGAAAAATATACAGGTGAGAATTCCCGTCTTTAATTTTACGCACTGCTTCCTACGCAGCAGCATAGACTTCTGAACATAGCTGTGTTGGTCTGAGGACACAGGCAGACAAGGTTCTTTGGCTAAATGTGATATCTTTTGTTAGATCAACTAAATAGTTGGAAAAAATGTTCTCAAGCTTGTTAAGAGCAATTTTTCCAACCATTTAGTTGATCTAATGAAAGAATCAGTTTAAGGCATTTTTGTCTTGTTGCCATGTTTTTCTGAATGAATGTGGTACAGTGACCCATGTAGCCTAGAAGGAACTTAGTTTTGTCTCAGTCAGGTTCTTAATGAAGGCTATATGAAAAAAAACGAGTCCGATATTTACACTTACTTCTTATCAAAGCAGCCTAAGCAGACATTCAAGTAGTTTGGACCCAAATTATGACCTATATTGACATGCTGATTATGTGACAGTATAAATTCATGATATTTTTTTTTAATGGTCAACATTTCTGCTGAAGTTATATAGTAACTTTATAATCCACTTGGTGCTGAGGAGTAAGTTAAAATCCAGATCCAAATTAGAATTTAGAGGTGGATGAAAAGCAGGAAAAATGTTTAAAATTATTATGTCAGTTTTTTTACATAACTGGTCATGTCACTTTACATTCCACTTTCAAGTGAGACAAACTGTAAAGTCTATTGTGAAGGTAAAACTCCTGTGATCAGTGTTTCTCAACCTACCCGTGTCAAATTCCACAAGTCCCTTGCTTGAAGAAAGTGAGATTACGTTGCCTGGGTCCAGTTCTCTTACTGTCACATCCTATTTTCTCAGCTGCAGCAATGTCTCTCTTTATATTCAAGTTTTGTGAAGATGTTCAAGCATTTTAGGAAAGCAGTAGTAGTAACCACTGCCAAACCACTGTAGTTCCAGTGTTCATATGACAGTTATTGACTACTGTTGAGTAAAAAAAGATTCCTATTAATGGTAGGTTTAAAATAAAAAGCACTTTTGGGAAGGCATCTGTAATTCTCTCTTCCCAATCATAGAACAAGCTGATATCTACAAGCTCATCAGGTCTCTCCTGATCCTTCACTATCTGCTCAAAGTAATTAAAAAAAAAAAAAAAAATTTAAAAAAACCCTGAAATCACACAAACTGTTCCTAGAAGTTTATGAATGGTTGCATTTTAATAGCTATTTCTAGGATTGCAATAGCACTCCCTACCTTATTAAAATAATTTCTCTTTAGAATTTTATTAAAGGAAGCTAATTTAAAATACAGACTTTTAGCACAAGTTCTTTCTGATATTGGACTCTGTAACTGGTGGTTGTTTACACAATTTTCTCCCCTAAGTTTTTACTTCTACAATTAACATGTCCTAAGAGTCTCTCATTAAGCCATGTACAGTTATTCAGAGAAATCAATATACAACACTGACCATAATTCACAATACAAGAACATGGTGAAACCTCATTCGTGATAGTAGCAGAGGTTTCTGTACCTATTCTACATTTGTCTCTAAGAGACGATTTGAAAGACAGCCAAATGTAAATATTTCATAACATATTAGCTATAGTGCAACTAAAGTAAAGTGGCAGTGCTCTGTCATTCTAGATGTACAGTACATAAACTATGGTATCTTCAGTATGTAGTAATGTGTCGAGAATAATAAATGTGTTAATGCAGATTCTGTATTGTTGTCTACCACAAGTGTAAACTACTGAAAACCTGGCCTTGCTGATACAAGACAAAAATAAAGTAAAACTGCCTGTCTTTATATTACAGAATTGCTTTTGTTTTCTTTTGTTAAGATTCCTCTTTGGAAGTGTCATTTCTACATTTTTTTATTTTGAATTATAAAACAAATTAATCATTCTAGAAATAGAATCCAACATCTGCATTTCTGCCAGCAACCTAAGCTGGTCAGCCTTGAAGCCACTTTTGTTGCTTATTTTCCCAGCATGGATTCTGAGGCCGCATCCAGATGAGTGCAAACATTTGTTTCCCCAGGGACAAGCAGCAGCAGCAGCACACCTTGTGCTGCTGCTACCTGTCCCCAGGGAATGCCCATACCATGCGGGCTCCAGCTCATGGCAGGTTACCCCTGGTGTGGTTGGAGAGCCTGGGGCTAGCAACTGTGCTGGGTGCCTTACCTGGGGTCCTGGGAGCCTCTGGGAGCTGCAGCCACAGCTCTCCTGCAGCTGGGAGCATGGCTCCAGCTGGCCAAGCTCCAGTTTTGCATGAGGTGCTGCCACTATGTACACCACCCTGCTTTTTTTTTGGTGTGGGTTTTTTTGACCCTCAGATCTCCGGTGACATCCCAGGGTCAAAAAAACCCACACCTGGTGCTGTAAGATAGCAATGCAGGGAGCACCTGCATGTGTCATGTATGGCACTGTAGACTGATTTGGGTGCCACGTACCACACATCTGCGCTCGTCTGGACACAGCCTGACAGGTGAAAGGATTTTGTCATGTTACAAATATAAAGTAACTTCACTAAATGAACTAAGGAGACTCTAGATCTACTCCAGTGCAACTGAGGTTTGATTCTAACTTTCTGTTTAAGAGTCAGAATGCCCAACTCCTAAACAGCACTCCTGTTTTCAGAAATGCAGGTTAAAAGGAGTTATTAGGGCTGAATGGATTAAACTAAGAAAACAGCTTTAAATTTAGTATGTGCAGAAGATGAGATCTGTGTCCTGAAATGGTCTGACTATCTGTTAAAAAGAGAAACAGACTGTAGTTGGGTCTAGGGTCTAACTTTGTCCAAAGTTTTCACAGTCACTTTTTCAGGAAGGGACAATGGCTGCTTCTTGGTGTACCACAAAACCCAGGAGGGAAAAGTTCTAGGGAGGAAGCAGCAGGTGCTAATTGCAGCCCCCTGTTATGAGATGAGTCAGTGGGTGGAGCTGGGAGAAGATTACTTGCAACATTATCTCCACAGTTCAGTTATCTTTCCTCAGACAATTGCCATTTCACAGTTTTGCAAACCTCATCTTCAGTACTTTCTACGTCATTCAAATCAATGGGGAGCCACCAGATTTAGAGAGAATATTACAAGCTAACATAGGATCAATGACAGGTAAGTGAAGTGTTGGTCAGTAACTGTTGCCAAAACCTGCTTATTTAATTTGAAGATGCACTGTGCACTGCAATCAGGTGTCTATAGTTACAGATGTAAAGTTAATTTTGTATTAAAAAAAAGAGTTGTATGTCATCAGGAATATGGACGTGAACTTTTAATATAGTTAAGGAAATGCCAACGTAACCATCTTCAAACTTTACGGGTTTGACATGACCCATCATTTTTTTTATATCCTCTGACCTAGCTTCTCATATAGTATGTAGCCAAGTTCACTACAGTAAGGGGGATACACCTTAAATAGATACTCATCATGAGAGAGGTATAGTTTTCTGTAAAGCCATCTGTAGGAAAAGTTATCAATTAGAAGATAACCAGTGAAAAAGTCATCTGAGGGATGTAGTCTTAAAAGAGACTACTAAGTTGCCAGCATTGATGAAGACAACAAGATCACCTTCATGAGGAATCTAGTGTTCAGACAAAATTCAGACATCCATCTAAGTGCCATGATTGTTTTCAGGGTAAGGTTGTCCATAAAATATTGACAGATTATGCCACTATATGCCTTCATCTTCTACTGATATTGCTGCTGACCTGTCTTCTCTTTCAGTTTCTTGGTCTATTAAGAACATTATTAGAACCTGCTGTCACCATCAGGATTTTTGAACCCTCTATGTTATTCTACTGGCTTGCCTTTCTCCCATCTGCATAGGCCTTGGAGGTACCAAAATAACAAAAAATAGATTTATATTTTTACATTTCAAACTCTCCTGCAGTGTGAAGAGAAAGTTCTGTTTACAAAATGATTCATATTCATAGAAATACATCAATTTTGTGTGTTCCTTCCCAGCACTGGAAGGAAGCATCACATACCATGTCACTAGTATGACAGAGTGACAGTGCCAAAAAACCTCCATTTTAAGTATTTCATAGACATATTAATCAGAAGCAATTGCAAGATAAATTAATCTGCAACAGAGCTTCAAGGACTTTAAAAAATCCTGAGTTACAAGCTTTGGGAACCAACTTCCTGCTGGAAGAAACACAGATAGAAAAAGCAATAGGTTAAGAATTCAGGTTTTTGTATATGTCCATGTCTGTCTCCCAAGGTAGACAAAAACATAGCACAATATCATGACGTTAAAAGGAGAAAAGTCGTACTCATGTGGCTAGCTCTGTTATATCTGAATGAGTATCTTGAAGTATCTATATCTATATATCAGTATCTATATCTGAGTGAGTATCTGGACGAGTGCGTCCAGATGAGCCCACATGTGCTTCTTGCAGCGTCTCAAAGGGGATGCAAGAGACGCATGCAGGAATAAGAAAATGTTCCCAGCACTGCACATTTGCAGCATGGGGGCAAAATTATACCCCTGAATATCCAGGGTCAAAAAAAGCCCACACAGAAGAAAAGCGGGGCAACCGGAGGCTGTGTCTTCCATAGAGACGCTCCATTGAGATGCCCATGAAGGCAGGCAGTGTGCCAGCAGCAGGGAGCTGGACCCAGGCTTCACTGCTGGTAAGTAAGGGGTCAGGTGGCTGGAGAAGGGGGGAGGGGACCATGGGGGGGGCCCCCCGCCGGCTCCGCCTGCCCAGCCCCACCCCCTGTCTGCACCCAGAGCCCCGCATCCCTTCCCTGCCTGGTTCCACCTCCCACCTGCCCCCCAAGCCCTCCCGATCCCTTCCCTGTCCCTCCCCCACCCCAGCATTGGGAAACAGAAGAAAAAAAACAAACCTAGCAGTTTGAGCTGCCGTCAAGGTCACTGGGGCCCTGCCCGCACAGTGCAGCCCCAGCCCGGGCCCTGTGCACAGCCCCAGTCGCCCCAGCCCAGGCCCTGCTGCCCCTGCGCTGCCTGCGGGGGGCTCTGCCAGGAGGCCCCAGAGCCCCCACAGCCCCTGCTTGGTGAGTAGATGCTTTTTTTTTCTTTTAAGTCCCTGTGGGGGGCAGCAAAATATATATTCATTAATCCATTACACATGTATTTACAATTCATTATGATAGAGACACTGGTAGTCTTCCAAATTGCTTTAACATTGTAGATATATCAATAAAACACTGCCTAACTGATTTCTATCTCTGTCTCACTCTCTTTCTCTCTCTTTATAGTGGTCTTTTGCTTTACTTGTGGAGGAACATGGATTTTGGGGTATTTTATAGAGTGACTTTGGGATTTTTTTATCAAGGATTTTTCAGTTTTCGAATAGGGAACACCAGAATTACTGCTAGGGAGGCCAGTGGCAGGACCCTGCCTGCTCAGAGCTGGCACCTTGGACCCAGCTGGCTGTGGCTGACCTCCTGGACAACTGGGACCAAGAGGACATGCTTTGACAGTTCAAAGCAGGCCACCACTCTCGGAACATCTTCCGGGGGATAGCTGTCC